AGTCTGTACCTTCCATGACTTACTACATAGATCGCCTGTAGAGAGGTATCACAGCTGGTTGTGCATGAATATAATGACTAATATACCTCTGGATGTAAAAATACACTTGGTTTGATGCAGATTGGGGCTTGATTATCTTTCCCAAGTGAGTCCGAAGGCACTCCCGAAACACCGAAAACCCCTCCGAAAGCACATCTGACCATCTCATGTATTCCAATATTGTACTGCTTAGGGTCACTAGTCATTGTGTCTACCCAGTGCTTATTTGGATAGTCATAAGCTCTCTTGCAGTGATATATGCAGCCATGACTGTCCGAAATTGGTCAAGGCTGTCCGAAGTCGGTCCGAATTTTGGGGACAATTAATCCTACTACAAGGATCTCTCGCTCACTGACACAAGAAACAGTGAAGTATCTCTTGCAGGGATGTATGCAACATGAGCCAGGCTGGAAGAGTTCAGACATGGAATGCATTACACAGGCTAGTTCACACACAGATGAGACATTTGGACCCCAAACATAGAAAGACCGAAACATGAAATGAAAACACCGAAACGGAAACTCGGCAAAATGAACAAGTGACAGTACATACAAGGGAACTGTAACACGGATTTGATTGGCTACATTTAATCTTGAGAAGAATGGAGATCTGCATTTGTGGGGATTGTGGGAATGGCATCATGAGGTGTTGGTCCTGAAGAAAGTACATTTTCGGAGTTGGAAGGGTCATTTTCGGGATTCGGTGCGGTATTTTCGGAGTTTCGAGCGGTGATCTTGGTGGAAGGGAGATCAAGACTGTGAGCTCTTCTTCGGTCAGAGTACTCGTTCGGCTTCGCAGGGGAGGTCCTAAGGTCAAAGCGGAATTGTTGCCGAGCCTTTTCTTGTTTGGCCTCTTGGAGTTCTGACTCAAGTTGCCTGATGGTGTAGTTGGCCGATTCCCACTCCTCTTGATCCACTTGAAGGTCCGCCCGTAACTTCTCATTTGCTCCCTCCAACTGCGCTTTGAGTTCCTTCAACCCTACATTCTCCATCTCAGTCTCATTTTGCAGGGCAGCGGTAATTTGCACAAACTGCAATGCCTCGTCGATTTGCTGTTGCATTACTCCCTTAGCTGCTTCAGCCTCCGAAAGACGAGCTCGGAGAGTTTCCAATTCGGTGTTTTCCTTCTCAGCCATCTGTCTGGCCAGATCTGAACACCGCTGTTCAGCAAACTGACGAGCCTGAGCCTCCTTTTCCTTATCCCCCATTGCACTAGCGAACCTCTGGCTCATAGTCTTGAGCCCTTCCTGAGTCTCCTCCAACTGCTTTCGGATTGAAGCAATTTCGGCGTCCTTTTCGGCGGTGACTCGGGCAACAGCATGATCTCTCTCCTCATTCTTATCAATCTGCTCTTTGTACAGCCGGTCCAGTGTCTTTACCTCTCCTTGAGCCACATCTCTTTCAGAAACCACCGAGTCATACCGCGCTTTGAATTCACTCCATGTCCCATTGATAGCTCTCACACCCGAAAGTGATTGTGTGACACTTTCGGAGAAGGCTTGATGACGTCCTCGGTTGATTTCTCGGTAATAGTCTATCATTTCGGAAACTTGAGCAACCATTCGGGAAGAGAATTGCTCCTCAAACTGAGCCTGAGTCTCTTGAAACTCACTCATACGATGCAGACACTGTTCAACTTCGGGCATGGTAGACGGTGGAGCCGGGATGTAAGGGACAACCTTTTCGGGTGCAGGCTGGTCCAAGGAAGGGACAGTGGGCCTTTGGGTCCGAAATTCGGGCTGGAGTGGTGGGTTCATTTGAGGGAGTTTACTGACCACATTGACCGAAGTGACAGGAATGGAGGGTATCTGACCTGGCAAAGCTGTGGGACCAGAGCCAACGAATTCTGAATGAGAACGAATGAGAGAAGTGGGAGGTGGAGTCTGAGGGGGAGCCGATTGGGAAGCAAAGAGTGGAGGAACTATGGGCTTCGGAGCCATCGTGGGTTTCGGAACATTGGTTGATGGGTTTGGACCAGGAAGACTCTGCACACCTGATCGACCCAGGCGCTTCTGCTGTAGCCACTGCTTTACCTCTGCAAACGTATGCAGTGAGGTAGGTAGTGGGGAGATTTGGGGAGGGCCAGAGACGAGAGAAGAAGACCCAGGTTGAAGGTTTGGAGGAGGGCCTGCTTTCGGAGCAGGGGAGGGGCTGGGGAAGGGGGCCGGTGTGACACTTTTAGCTTGGTGAGGCGAAGGGATTGTTGGTGATTCTTGCAATGTAACACCCAAAACCGATTGTGTTTGTGCTATAAATGGGTCTAGAGCAGAGGGAACGGCCTGTTGTCGAACAGATACGGCAGGAGAAGGAACAGGACCAACAGGGGACATTGTGGGCACCTTTTCGGAGGTAAGATCCATTTCGGGCTGGGGAGGACCTTGTTCAATGGAGAACGGACGAGCCCGTTTCGGTTCGGCCTGGGACTCTTCTACATCCTCCAGGGCACGCTTGTTCACAGGAGGATGAACAGGACTACTTCGGACAAGTATCGGAGAAACCCCAGCTGGCAAACCTGCAGAGAAAACGGGGGGGGCGGTTTCGGAGGGTTCCTTTTCGGGAACAACATCGGCAAATTTTGGAGGGCGGGGAGGGAATCGTGGCCTCTCATTTCGGGCTGTAGATTGTTCCGGTTGAGGTGTTTCTTCCCCATCATCTTGACCCAAGCTGGAATCTTGAACAAGAGTAGGACCAGCTGGAGAAGAAAGCTCCGTTTCTCCCTAAAAGTCAGCTGCTGAGACTTGCTTTCGGTTCGGAACTTAGAAAACTCACCTCCGAACGAGGTTGCTCTCTAGCAGACGTACGCGCTTCGGTGAGGGGTTTCGGAGAAGGTTTGACAACCCATTTCGGATGGGATTTTGCAGCATCCCCAGCTGCGACAGTGCCTCCCCTAGCAGTCCTACGCTTGTCCTTCGGTCCTACCGGTTGCTGCAGTGGCGCATTTGAGAACCCAATCGCCGTGGAAGCTGCAGGGGGAGCTTTTTCTTTTCCCTTTCCTTTTCCTTTTTCGGGAGGGGGGGGAGAAACCGATTTCTTGGGAGCCGAAGCTCTTGTGGAGCGTGTTGTGGTGGCTGGCCGGCGAGGTTTCGGAGGGGAGGGATGTGGTGAATGTTCAGAGTCCGATGAGTCCGAATCAGAATCCGAGCTGTCCTCAGGCTTGTCCTGACCTTGTGATGACTTTTTCGGTCGTTTTTCACTTTCGGAGGACTCTTCGACAAGGAAATTGGTCGGCTTGCCCTTGAGGGAGCAGGTGAGAGGGGGCTTTGTGGAGTTATAACAGTGCACACAGACACGAAACTTTCCTTCGTCCCAACGGTTGAGAAACACTGGTCGACCATCAGGTACATTGACACATTTCACTTCGGGATGTCTGAGATCAGCATTGAGTTTCGTTAATTTCTCCCGAATTCGGGAGCCATATTTGATAAACCAATACTCACGTGTAATTGAAAGCCGAAACACAAAACTGGACATGACAGTTTGGCTTTGTGGCCGACTCATCCGCCGAATAACATCGTGACCCTCTAGTAATCGCCCGAATACCCTCTTCCTTCATTTGTTTCGGGGTAGCTTCCCGAAGTCCTAGCTTTTCAGCAAGCTGAGGAAGATACTTCGGCTCTGCATGCCACCAGGGCTGGAGGTAGAACCCTATCTCAGCTTGAAAAGAACGAAGTGATTTCTCATTCTTCCAAATGGGGTGTTGTGGCTGAAGATACTTTTGGAAGTGAACATGGTCGGGGTGTAATTTGTAACCCTTCGGAGGGTTTACACTGGATTTATCTGTTTTTGGGTCGAAGGGGTTCGGCATTTTGAGAAAGAGGTCAAAGAGGTCAGAGAGATTGGGAGGAAGGGGGAGTGGGAAGACTCTAATTTTGATGATAAGATAATTCGGACGAGCCAAGGGGGAAGGTGAGATGAAGCACACAGATGCAGAATGAGCAGTGAGATCAGTTGAGAGTGAGCAGTGGAGAGCAGATGAAAAACGCTGGCTAATGTATGCTGGAAAAAGATATGAAGATGCTGAAGTGAAGTGAAGTGAAGAGAAGAAGTGAATTGAAGGAATGAAAAAGGGGGAAAATCGCGTCAGCCCGTGTTAGTACTTAGTAGAAGTTCAATCAACACATCACCATCAGACACGTCAACATGATGGATCCTTAAGAGAGTTTTGTGCATTCAGAGGATGTATTACCATGAACATGAACATACATACATACTTACATACATGAAAGAAGCTATTCACTTGGGTAGATTGGTAGTCAGTAGTGAGTATGTGACTATCACCGAAAGCTCCCGAATTCGGCCGAAAGGGGACCGAAAAGGAAGTAGGATTTCGGGCTGGGGACATTGCCCATGCCCCTGTGGTCAATACTCCGAAAGCTGTGCCGAAAATGGTATGAATAGACTCAGAAGGCGTCAGGCATTCCAATGATATCAGAAAAGCCACGGAAAGATGATTTTTTAATAGTGAAGGTATTTGGGTCAGTAGTGACGGGATATGGGAGTTGAACGTCGTATTTTGGGAGAAAGTGGCAAAATTTCGTCGGGATTAATTCGAGTTCCGTCGGGATTATCCACTTTTGCCGCCGAGGGCCGAGGTGGCGACTTGGCGTATCTTCTTGGCTACCTGGTACCTTTATGCATTTGTAACCTTTCTCTTGTTCTTTTCTCTTCACTACACTTTACACTATTCTCTTCATAATGCCTCTTCATCTCCCTCATCTCGGTGGACATCACGGTCACAAACATAAGAAATCACTATCTGATGTTGACCATTCAATCATCACCCCTGCTGAACCTCTTGGTAAATCTCAACCTCCGCCATCTACTTCTCCCAAGATACCTCCACTACCTCAAAACAAAGATACTGTACCTCCCTTGAGACACAGTACAACATCAACTTCATCATCATCACAACCAACTTCAATCTTGAAAAAAAACACGTCTTCAATAATCACCGGTCTCACAGGTTTATCATCACCTGATTCACCTTATATTCAAAAACGTTTCAGCGGTATGAACCTCGATAGAACCGAAACTATAGATTCACGTTCTTCAATGGATGAAGATAATGGTAATAATACTTCTTCTACACCTGCGACTTCAGTTTCTTCTTTAGGTTCATGTCCATTACCATCAAGTTCTGCAGGTCAAAAATTTCCTTTCTTCGTAATGACTTTAAGTGCTACTTCTACTTTATCTTTTTTAGCTTTACCATTATCTATGAGACCTTTAGTTTTAGATTCCATACATAAAGCTTGGAAAAAAGGTATTTTGAAAAATCAACAAGTAGAATATCAACCTGAATTAATGAAAAGACATAAAGATAAAGGATGTGAAGGTGGTGTTTGGGAAGTTACGATGAAAGATAATGCTTGGTTACCTAAAACTGAAGATAAAGTTGCGTGAGTTTGATTTTAATTCAAATTTAAGAATCAGAGAATTTTTGTAAATTGATTGAATATAGATCTAAAAGAATCTTGATTTATCTCATGATGGCTTTTGCTAAAGAAGGTTATAGTCTTTGTTCTTCATTTAGGACTTCAGCCAAAGGTGAGTTAATTTTCCTTCAAATTTCATTCCCTATACTCCGAAGGCTTTTCAAATCCAATTACAGTTTTATCAATCCAAATATATCATTACAGACAAGTGAAAGATGGTTTTGAAACTCGATAAATTTGACGGAACTGATATCAGACTCTGGTAAAGATACACTCATCTTTCTTCGAGGAGAACCGGACCCTGATCCTATTTTCTTCGCAGTGGCGTTTTATCAAAGTGATCGTATTTGGATCATCGACGCTGAAGCTGATGTGGGTGAAGCTTTGGAAAAAGGAATAACAGAACATTGGATAGATGGGATTAGAGATGCTAGAGTTAGAGAGAGACACTGTAGGGAGATTCGTCTCAAAGGTCATCCATGTCAGTCGCATTTCCTTCTGGTCCCTTGATATTCCCCTCGCCTCATAACCTATACCCCTACCCTTTTGCCTCACTCATTCCGTGCAATCGATTGGGCGGGTCTCTCTTTGATGATCGTATGACCACAATCGACTGACAATTGACATTCGCCACTACACGGTACGAAGATCTGCGTGTAAATGTACAAGTCACTGATCTTCAGGGACCGCACATTCCGCCTCGGCACTCATTTCCGCCCGTGCTATTCAACTGGTCATGATGAAGATTATCACTCACTATGACAGAGGCTACGATTTCGTCGGAAGTGTCGATATGGCCGACTTGGACGAAGGTGAAATGCCAGTCATTTTCTATAGACGTAAATGGGGTACTGGGAGAGCAGTCTGGAAAATGTCAGAATGATAGAGGGATATCAGTCCATGAGAGTGAATGAGGTTTGAATTGAATGTGTCATACTGTTTTAGATGACGAAATTATGCTATGCTTTACTTAACATTTCAACGATGCAATGCTAAACCTCGAACTTCTCACGAGTTCTCAACTTGATGAATGTGTTTTAAAAAAGAGAGAAAGAATCAATATTCATAGATCATTACACCTATCAGATTATCTGCATTCACACATCATCTTGCAATCCCATCTCTCCCTCATCCTCAAGCCTGTACGTCAGTCAAGGATGCTACATTGAAAGGGTGGACAATCTCACATGACCTTCAAAATCATAATCGATCCCTGCTTGCTTGATCTTGCTCTTTCTTCTCTCTTGCCTTTCGAGTAAACGATCATTTGACTCTTTCTTCTGTTCTTCCGTTCTTGGCTATATATCAGTAAATCTTCCCTTTGTATCTTTCACAGCCGTCTCGACAGGCGATACCGATGAAAGTGTAGAATATAAGAGAAAGACTTACCCGTTCTTGTCTCAACTTCTCCAATCTAGCACGAGGTATTTTACGCCATTTCTTATTAGCCCCTTCCCATAACCTAGGATGAACTTCGTCTGGCGGGACGACCTTTCAGTCAGTCAATCTTCAATTGTAGCTGAAAAGAAACTCACTTGACACTTGAGTAAATGTCCCATGAGGAGGTAATTGTTCATTGTCTCAGCAACGATCTCCGCCACAGCTTCAGATGACATTTCGATGTATGCGTAATGTTTGGACGCGCCCGTCTTCCTGTCAGCTGTTTCCGATAATCTTTCAGATGATTGAACTGAAGATGTGATGTTCAAGCAGACGGTCATGAGGTACCGACCGTGGAAGATAGGGGAAGATGTTGGATGATGCTAGTAAGACTGGATGGGAAAGAACACAATCCAAAAACTGACTTTACGATTTCGTGCAAGACGAAGTTGTGTCACTTCACCAAACTGACTGAAATATTCTTTCATCTCATCTTCATAAAACCCATGAGGGATCCTTCCGAGGTACAGCGTACCCTTTTCCGAAGTCTAGAAGTCAGTCATACCATCTCACCTCCTTGACTCATCTCAAAAATCTTACTTCTAAGACGGTGGATTTGGGGATTTTGAGAAATGGGTCAAGCGGGACATATTCAGACACATGGGCGCACCTTCTTCTTCTGAGCTTTCTTGAGCTTGGCAGCGACGCTCTTGTCATCTTTAGCCACACTTGTCAACTTGCTCATATCAAACTTCTTTCCCGCTTCTCTCACAGCCACATCTTCTGCGTCACTCTCATCGGAAGAACCTTCGCCTTCGGAAGAAGTAAACCCATGAAGCTCCTCGTCATCGTCAGACTCTTCAGTCTCCGCGGCAGCCTTGAGCACAGCTTTGCCTTTTGTCTTGATTCCATTCGCAGCTTTCCCAGCGGATTTCACGCCCTCTGTGACCATCGAGGCGATCTCTGGTGCTTTGTCGCTGGTTTTGACAGTAGCTTCGGCTAGCACTTCTTCAGCGTCTTGAACGACCTTCTTGCCCTTCTTGCTGGCTTTGGTGGTAAGGTCGCCGGCGGCTTCTTCACTCTGTGAAACAACTTTCTTGCCTTTTGCAACAATCTTCGGAGTGATTTCTTCGACTTTCTCCTCCGCATCTTTTACCGCTTGACGTCCTTTCTTTGTAACTTTATCGGTCGCTTCAACCAGCTTTGTATCCGGCGCTTCCTTGGCTTTCTTGCCTTTCTTCATAACCGTTTCCTTGCCCGCTTCTCCTTGACCGACAGCTTCTTCAACGACCTGCTTGACCTTCTTCTTGGCGGGTTCAGCCGCCTCCGTCACATCTTTCGCGACCTTCTTTGCCTTTTTCTTGACCGGCTCCGCTCCCTCTACGACGTTTTCCGCGACCTTCTTCGCCTTTTTCTTAGCCGGTTCTGCGGCTTCAACGACATCTTCCATGACCTTCTTTGCCTTTTTCTGAGCCGGTTCCGCTCCCCTTACGACGTCTTCCACGACCTTTTTAGTCTTCTTCTTTGACGACTCTACCACCTCAGCCGCTTTTTCCTTCCCCTCTCCCACCGTCAACCCTGTCGCCGCTCCAAAGCCTTTCACTACACCGTCCAAAGCTTCTCCCACCTTCTCCGCCACATCCCCGACCACACGCATGACCGTTTCTTCCGCCTGAGCCACCAACTCCCCCGCCCTCTTCCGTTTCTTCGGATCGGTAGCAGCCTCCTTGACCTGCTCCACCATAGGTTCAACAGCTTTAGCCACTTCATCCGCCTTTTCCTTTACCACCTTAGCTGCCTTTGCCGCCTTTCCCTTGAGTGGTTGAGCAGCTTCCACAGTTTTCTCCAATACTCCTTCCGTCTTCTTCACTGCTTTACCTACTTTCTTCTTGCCTTCCTTTACGTCTACCCCTTTCTCCTGTAATGATGCCTCCAGTTTTTCCTCCGCCTCACCGACTTTATTCCCCACATCTTTCACCATCTTACTAGCTTTTCCCTTCAATGGTTTGGCAGCTTCTCCCGCTTTTTCCACCACAGTCTCGCTAGCTTCCGCAGCTTTGGAAGCGACAACCTTGCCACGCTTCTTCATCTTCCCCACATCCACATTATCTTGTACCACATCTCTGACCGGAGCAGGGGTAGCCGAACCGTCAATCAATAGTTCTCCAGCAACATCGACAACTTGAGTGACGGATGAAGCGAGATCAGCAGCGACGTTTTGTATAGTGGTAGCCACTGTTTCAAAAGCACTTGGATCTTTTGCTTTCTTCTCCGTCTGCTTGACAGGTTTCGACTTGCCGGGTTTATTTGAAGAAGTTGATTTGGGCTTCTTAGACTCGGGTGCAGATGAGGGGACGGAAGTCGGGGCGGAACGTTTTGCCATGTTGTGAAATGTAATGAGTGAAGTGATTGACAAAGGGGGAAAGAAGAAGAAAGAGTGGAGAGGAAGAGGGAATGAAAACATTTTCGGACCAAAGGACGTCATCGATTCGGTTTTCAATGTGGCGCTACAAACTTTACTCTTCTCTCACTCTCTGCTACCCCCGTGAGATGAATTTTGCAAGACGTCATTAAGAGAAGCATGGCTGAAAGATTCGATCTCTTCAACCCCTGTAAGCTATTACTGCATGCACTACTCCTTACATGCGCTCCTTGTTGGAAGAAGAGGGACGTTCCAGCGGTGAGTGTATTAAAAGTGGCAGGGGGAAACTAAGGCACCGACTTTCTACTGATAAGTTTATTCGTCCCCAACACATGCACCATATCCTCGGACGCGTCAACAAACTCACTCAAGGTCCGAGCAAGTGAACTGAGGGTGTTTGGTTGAAGATGCACCCAAGTCATTTCATCCGATTAGCATCTTAATCTCATCTTTCGATATGTTACGGTTTCTCACATTATCAACAGTGGTTCTATTATTGTTGTCTCTTCCCGTGACGCACGCAGCTCGCTTGACAGTTCTTGATGATGTGAGTAAAATCTAAGTATCAAATCTTGTCTCTTCTCCATCCCGAAACTCCGTGCTCATCAAGTACAACCGACCAAGGTGTATATGTAACACTACACCTCCATCTTCCTCCTCTGTATGTTCCCGAAAGGGTATTAATATACGGACGGACTACACGTACGGAATGATCGACTGTTGACATCCAGGATGGCCAAACAATCATCGAGACAGTCTCAACTGATCAATGGGATGAAGTTTGGACTTTGACATTGTGAGTACTCTATTCCCCTTTCAATGTTCCTTTGTTCTAACTCATATATAGATCAACAATAGGTGTGAAAGTAGCACAGAATTCATTAACTTCCACTACTACCAAAGGATTTGTGTGAGTTACAACATCCCTCACCCCACCCATCACATCCCGTCGTAGTTTATCAACACGATCCTTTCTTTTGTGTACGTGGATGTGTTTACAATTCGTCATCATAGAGACTTGTGGAGATAATGTTCTGATGGATTGACAAATAGGACTAATCCTGCTATCGTTAGTCCTACGGCGATCGTAGCTGCTGGAACGTGAGTCCAATTCTCGAATCCTTCCATTATTACCCTAATCAGGATACCCCAATCGAGATTTTCTTCTATCCTGGGTTGCAAAGCTTTCTCTGGCTAGATTTTCTCCACTCGAGGCTTCACGAGACTTTCAAAACGTCATTTGAATTTTCCCCGTGACGGAGAGCAGAGATGGGATAGAACTTGAGGGATTCATGCACGATCATGTCTGACCCCCAGAATCCAAGATTTCTCAGCATACGAAGCTAGCGTCAGTACCAAACTAGCCAGTATGTCCAGTTCTCTTTGGGCACAATATACAGCGACCGCTAGTGGATACACGACCTCTTCAGCCCATCGAACGGAAGTTTCTCTCGTAGGATGGGGTGTTTTGATCTTGCTTGTAGCATATGGCTTAGCCAAAGAAGGGGTTCTATGAGAAGACTAGGTGTTATTGTAGGCATGATAAAATTAGGAATGTTGTACTAAGTATGGGTCATGCATCAAAACGTCATGAAACCATCAAATTGTGAGATATGTTTTTAGATGTTCAATCATCCATCCATCCTCCTCCACCTTCCTCATCATCGGTTAGATCTCCTCCGTCTCCCATCACATACCTACTTTGTAACATGCCATTTTCAGCGGAAGGGGAAGAAATGAGACCGTCAGCCAGCTCGGGAGCGTGGAGATGCATGGTTGGTTTTAAGTGGGGTTCAAGGGGAAGTTGACGACGAGGGTAGGACCAGCCGTTGGACCATGGTGGGATGGTCAGAGGTAGGAGGAGCGTTCGCTTAGGACTAAGTGTTAGGACGAGGTCTTCTTGTACACTCTGTCGAACTCTGTGAAGTCCATCTCGGAGAGGATGACATGGTAAAACGAGGTAAGCTACACGAGATAAGAGAGTCTGGAAGATTCCTTGTGGTATGAACGATAGTGAGATCACAAAATGTAATTCGAGAAGGAACGAACGTACTATCCTCCCGATCCTATGTTGAAAAACAATTCTAAATTCCGTTTCTTCCCTAGATCATACGGGTTCAAATAGATCAATCCCTCTGCCTTCGCCCTCGTTTCCAGATAAGCATTATCATGACTTTCTACACTTGTCTCGCCTTTCGATACCATATAGAGATGCCACAATAGCAACACTGGGACACAAAAGCCTTTTGATCAGCTCGTCAGGAGTTTGAAGACTTACCTATAGCTAGACTGAGCACGTAAAGTAATGTATAAGCTATTCTCGGTGACATGCCGGGCCACTGAGAATCAGCAATAGCAACACATCATGATGATTATCGTCTTTTCACAGATGAATCAACAGCGACGACGGTCAAAAGTGACCACAACATAGGGAAGAGGGGTTTGGGGTGAAGACATATAAATGGGACACCCACCGGTTCTCGGAAATCGAAAGAATCCCAAAATCTGCTATAGCCCATCAGGGATACAACCCAAGTTGCGAAGCTCAACCAAGCCCTAAAATATCAGTCTTTGACATCTCACGTGGCTGATCGATTTTCAAGAATGAATGACATACATGAATAAGACGAAATGTCTCTGATTATGGAGCCCGACCTGACTGGGTCGTAAGACTCATCAATACCATTTCGACCGAACTCACACAACCGTTGATCCCTATTGATCAGTATCCTTCTCCAACTTCTAAAACACTTTACTCACAAGGACAATGATGGTCCATCAGTAGGATACATCTTTTGCATACTGAACAATGATGTGTTCGCTGGTTGATCAGCTTCCACCACATCCCGGCATCGAAGATCTTCATCAAGTAAGTGTGTGAGGTCATATAGTACAGAACTGAAAGAGGGAATGAGGTGAAAATGAAGAAAGATAAGAGATGTCACCTCCGGTTTAGGCCCATCACATTTCCTACATCTCCTCACTCTTCCTTGCGGAGCAGGAGTAACATTAACATTTCCTTCCCCGGTCAACGGACGTGTATTTCTTCTAGTCATCCCCCATCGTTCTGGACTCCACACACTACGAGGGGAATGAACCAACCAAGAATCTCTTCTACTGTGAACTGGTTTATTTGGGGATAATGCTAAGGCTCTGGGGGAAGGGTAACCGGGAGGAGTGACGCATACGAGAAAGTATTGGCCGTATAAATTGGCAGGGATAATAAAGAGGATAGGGGAGAGTAGTAATGTGGTGAACCAGGATAAATCTCGAACGACGACGTCGACTATGAGTTAATTTCAGGTCTTTCTCCAGCTAACAAGAGAGGTCATAAACAGTTATTTGGGCCTGAGCATGGTACCAGTCGAGGTAGGGTATTTTGGTGGGATAGGTAGGTGTTGAAGAAAGATATACATACAGAAGATGATCCCACCAAGACCTATCAAAGTCCAACATAATCCAACGAAGACCGGTCCAGCAGCTCCAGTGATCCAATCTGCAAATGCCTCTACACGTTTGAAACAACGTATGACGAGACCTGATAAAGGTCGTAGAACACCTCGCATGGTCATGTCGGATAAAGCTCCCTCTCGGATTGTCGGCTGGTACGATGGTTTTGTAGGGCAGCCAATGGCCAATGGCCCGATCCGCGAGCTCAAATAACAGGCGACAGTTGTTATTTCAAGTAGCTGACTTATATTTATTGGATGATGACGAGAGGTACTTAAGTAGGAAGAGGGTAAGAAGAAAGGAAGATGTTTCCTCGATTGATTTATATCTCATCAATCTCACTTTACTAAATTTCCTTCTTTCCTTTTGTAACTTGTCTCTGCTTGACCTTCTTTTGCACTTGCTTGTCGATTTCACTACTGTGAAGAGTCTTTTAGAAAATGGCTACGACCACTTTCGCTCAAGCAGGTCCATCAGAACCATCGTGAGTCGTCCATCTTCCCTCCTCACACACCCCCACTACTTCCTATGCCTCCGACCTCTTACTTTCATATTCGCCACCTCTACTTATCCAGCTTTCCGACCAAGACCATCTCTTCCCTATAACTCACATCCACGCTCCACTCATGTGTGTCGATATTGGCTTGAGTGTATAGGATTAGAAATGAGAGATACTAACGCTCAGCACACCATGGCCTGCACCAGCTATAGAAGCTTCCACACACGGTGCTATAGCATTTTGTCAAGTCTACTATGAAACTTATGATGAACCACTTCGACGAGTATCCGTCAGTGCTATCTCTCTCTCTCTCTCTCTTTGGCCTTAACTTTCTCCTTGCTCTTACTTGTCGTTCAACCCGTCTCCATGCATCTATACCTGCATCTCATCTCCTCTTTCACTCACCAACCTCGAGCCACCAGCTCCTGTTCAAACACATTCACCACAAGTGCAAGCACACATCCTGGTCTTCTGTCAGACGCTCGTGGAAGTGTGGTAGCCAAGAAGATCTTGAAGGAACATAGTCAATAGATTTAAAGGGGACATACTGATGACTCAGGAAATCCCATTACTATATCATCCCGGTGCTAAACTCATCTGGAACGGAAACCTCGTACCTACTACCTCAACCGAACTCACAGCTTGGCTGGAAGCATTCCCATATTCAAGACATGATCTACAAACACTTGATTGTCATCCTGCCGAATGTACGTTCTTTTCTCCCGCTTCCGTTTTCCTCTCCTTCATCATCTCCTTGAACCCTACAACTCTTTCCGAATGGGCATCAGCAAGTCATGAATTTCCCTGCGAATGGAACCGATCAATCCAGATGTGTCACTGTGGGATCAAGAAGAAACACATGGGGCTTTGCGGGTTCGGTGATTAGGCACAAAGAGGGTTGATGACTAACTTCCAGCTCCAACACCAACATCCCCTCCTGATCTCATAGTCAACGTCACTGGATCAGTATTCAGCGGACCTGCTTCTTTTCCTCTGCACGGGACTAGCGGGGCCAACCAACCTAATCCTGATAAAGCGAGGAAATTCCATCAAATGTTCATGTTGCGTGCCGTAGCCGGAGAGGGCGGTTTACAACCTATGGTATGTCCTCTGTACTAACCCTCTTTCTCACCACGTCCTCAGACCGGTCACACCCTGTCTAGCATGTGCTGGGGTTTAGAACAAGCTGATAGTGCTTGGACGGTTTGGGGGTACCTAGTGAAGGACAGGATCGTATGATCGTGAGAAGAGCGGAAAGTGTACTGATGACCAGTATAAGATCCAGACAAACAATTTCAGATATATCGGATAGCCCAAAGCTCAAGTCATTCAAGCATGATCACGAGCGACGTCGAAGATTGCACAGCAGATAATCGAAAGCGCAAAGAAGAGCATGAGAAAGGGAGAGTACGAAGAGCGAAGATCCGTCTCGCATCTGAAGCATATCCATCCATCTAGCATATACATAATCAAGCTCCCGAAAATGTATGATCCAACTCACTAGACTCGTACACTATACTTTCACTGACGATGCACCAAAGGAAGTCCACTGGATTATAAAGCGTTTGGAAAGAAGGGTAAGATCATAGTTTGGCTTTCTGAATTCCGGTCCCCTCCTCGCTGTCGCGATATGCCTGATCAATCTCTTTCTTGAACCACTTGGCGGCCACACTGCGTTTCACTTTGAGGGTAGGAGTGATGAGATCGTCTGGGAATGGTGTGAGTGTGAGGTGGACACCTTTGATAGTTTCGAACCTACAAATCAGTTGGTCTGTTCAGCCAAGTACTCGAAATCTGAGCCTCCAAATGCCATTTTATCGCCATCAGTGTTCAAAACACAAAGACCGCTACGTGTATTACGAACATTGAAGATGTCTTGGGATTGGAAGTGGTGAGATGGACATGCGAGGAGATGAAAAGAGCAGCACATACCCATTCAACCGATGACTCTTCGCGATCTTCACCAATCCCTCCAAAACTGCCCTCTTCACTTTCTTATCCTGCACCACCCTCTCCAACGTCTTCACGTCCTCCGGGTGGAACGTCTGGCCCAAGACGTGATGAGCCAAGTTGGCCGCTTGAGCAGGATCAAGCACCGCAATGGCCACAATGCAAGAACGTGTCGAGTCCCCATGAACCAACAAAGTCGCGAACAGGGGATTCAGAGCGTAGATCCCCTCCAGCTTTTCCAGTGCGACATATTCCCTAGTCATCAGCGAAGTTCTGGACAACTGAGGAAGAACGAGCAAGACGCCCAGTCTATGTTGACCAATCAGTCAAGCAACACCGAGTCTACTTTGAGGTATCGCCCAGGGTAAAGATGAAAAATTTGAATTGGGAGGACATGTATAGACTGAGCCCTCACCCTTGTGACAGTTTGACGACATTCTTGATCCGGTCGATGATCTTCAATCTTCCGTCAGAATCAATCTCTCCGATACTGAGCGTCAGTTGAAGGTTGTACATCGTGCTTGGCCTGAATTCACTCTTCGGTGTGCATCCAGCCATCCTTATCGATGAGCTTCGTCGTGTTGATCGGATCGTGCAAGTATCCAGGAGTGATGTTACAGCCTTTGAGGCATATCCTGTATGATCAGCTAAGCGAACTGAATGCTTTCCCAGTAGATCACTGACTCTCCACGGGGTGAAGGCTTATCGGTACTTCGGTACTTGAACGTCAGCTGAAGCCCAGGTACGCAGGGGAGATGACTCACTCCCATATCTGGCACATCGACCAGTTTGACATCATTGCAAGGTTGTATTTGACCGCAAGTGCCAACAGACTTGATGTCCCAAGGTATCCTGCTTTGTCAGATTTGCAGCATTCGATCGATCGTGACCCGCCCTTTGGTACACGTTCCAACAGTCTATCTCGTCAGCTTTACATGCAGTCTCAAACAAGAAAGCTGACCTCTGTCATGCCATACTGAGCGGATCAGTTAATTGACAAACAATACAATAGTGGAGGACTTACTCCTTGCACAACCTCACAACTGAAACAAATCTTCAGGAGTTCGTGCACCTCAGCAGCCAAAGGGGCAGCTCCTGAGCCAATGTACAAGATGTTGCCTCCAAGCAGATTCCGAATCTGTGATGAGAAACGCTCGTTAATGTTCCGGACCACGCGCACCTTTCTGAAAACCAGAATATCATAGAGAGTGTGTTTCACTTCCGCATTTTGTCGCCAATTAGCGAGCTTAGCCTCGACGGCTTTTGACAGCAGAGCGCCTTTTAGGCCACCAGCTTCTATCTGCGTTTGAACGGCAGCGTTGATTCTGGGAGTCATCAGAATGTATTCGGCTTCTCTGGACTGAGAGGGTTTCTGACCTGTTCCAAACTCTCGGTACACCCGCCATGAAATGCGGCTTTATAAGCTGAGCGTCTTCAAGTAACCGAGTCGTATCGCCCGTAGTCAGTCCGATAGTCCCGTTCGCATACATGACAAGAAGCTCCAGGAATCGCTGTTCGTGAGCAAGCTTTTGTGGATTGATCTGAACACACCTCATATCTGCAGATGTCAGCCAAGAGCACACTATTTTGAAAACTCACATATGACTCAAGGGCATGTAGGACAAAAATCGCCATTCTTGATGATTAAGTTGCTCTGTCGCACCCAAGGCGTTGGAGACGACCGCCGTTGTGACATTGTCGTTGGTCAAGACTACGCCTTTGGGATCACCTACGAGCAATCAGGTTGCTATGTCATACACTATACTAGCAAAGGCTCACCAGTGGTACCGCTTGTATAACTGATAGTGACAATACGCTGCCTGTCCAATTCCTCTTCGCCGTGAACCCCTTTAACGGGACCTGGCTCGCAAAAGACTCCCTCGGTCATCCCCCATTTCTCTAGCTCGACCATATCCAGTAGCTCCACATTGACACTCTTGGCCCACTGTTTCAACACTTCGCCCTCAGTCCGAGGTAGCGGGTCCATACTGACAATCACTTTCAGAGTCGAACATTGAGGAACGACCTTGAGTAGACTTGGAAGATGATTCCGAGCAGCGAACACGATAGAAAGGGGGCAGTGATTTGTTCTGATTCATCAGCTCGTCTCAACCTTCCTCAATGACAATAAACCCACATATATTTGGCAACATCAGGCCCAAGAGTCTCGTATAGACTCACGCTGACCAGGCCGTAGGCTTGGCATGCGAGGTCAATCACCTGCCATTCCTCTCTGTTCTTACTCCACATTCCCACTGCCCAACCTCGACGTGCACCATGTTTTAATCGGTTGCTAGTGCTGAAATGAGGTACACCAGGGTGAGTCAGTTCCACCGGAGTGATAGAACCCACATTGGGTGCTTTCAACCGACCATCTCGTTCGAGTGCTAGTAAAGCCGATCCAAGTGCGGTACGACGTTGTTGAACTTGAGAGTAGGTCGTACTGAGGAGAGTGGTGCCGAACGTTACTTCGTCAGTGGTACTTGATGCTGAGGGAGGAATGGTGGCACGGCGGAGAAAAAGTGATCGGTGTGGATGACGAGCGACAGCTGAGAAGCTCAGCCACGACGCCCATGGGCTTGGCTGAGATACTCACATTGCTCAAAGAGCTCAAAAAGAGTTCGAGGTTCATCTTTCTCCGTCAAGCGAGATTTGTCCCATATAGCTATCCGAATTAGCGGTTTCCTTCATCTGGTACGTCAAAGATCACGTACCATTCTTGAAGACACCTTGGGCGTCAGCTAATGAAAGGAACGTCCAGGGGCTACTCACCTGTCTGACCCGCTTTTCTGGACGAAGGTATCTCCTACATAAGATGAGCTTATACTTTCTATCACCCAAAAAAGACAAACATACAACACTCTGAGAGGTCAGGGAGGTGTGAGGTGGGTAAGGGGTAATTGGCATGTCGTCCTCTCGGTGCGTTCAAACCCTGACAAAGACCTGATATGTGGAACACGGGCAGATCCGTGTGCCTATGATCGTTGTTGTGCTCGACGTCTTGAAGCACGATGACACAATATGACAAGGACGGCTTCTGGTGTCAGACGAGTGGTCCAAGGAGAGACAAGATTGTGTTGGGGATGGAAGAAAGCAGGTGAAGGAGGAATGGGGGAGAACATCGATCGAGGCACAGAGCTTCTCCGTCATCCCGGCTATAAGGGGGCCCGAGCACCAAGCTGACACCCATATTGACGGGGAGCGGCGATCGCCGCGAAAGGCAAAGCTGGATTGACCTCTGTCCCCATCCTCCAAACTCCATGGTAGATCCGTAGAGTAGAGATGCATTGAAGTCTCATGGAGGAGTAACTTACAGAGCGTTGGTGATCCTTCTCGATGGTAGCGAAGGAAAGGTCAAAGGGTCGATCACAACGCCATCTTTGTGATGTGGCTCTGCCGGTCCCGATCCCCGGTCCCCATCATCTGCACTTAGATGGATTCCGGGTTTGTCGCCAACGCCCTGAGTCAAAGTGCACTCCTCACTTTCACAACGTTCGAAATCTCAAACATGTCAGGATACACTTCGGTACCAATAGAAGAACCCTCAGCTTTCTTACTGCAATCTCATGGACAAGGACATGATGAAGAGCAACCTCCAGAAGGAGCACCCACTTTCTCAGTCAAACCGTATGTTCTGCATTTTCATCAATCCCCATACTTCTGAAACTGTGGCCGGTTCTGATGTTTCATCCGCAATGTCTAACCACACAATGGCGTACTGGACTCCTAGCTATTGCTGAGTCACTGTCCCCCACATGAAGGTGGTGGCCGGTGGTCAGGACTGATGTAACAGCCGTTCATACGACTTCCTCCAAGATCCCATATACAAACCATGGCTCGTCATACTCGGACCCATTGTCATTGTCATGTTCATCTTCGTTCTCGCCCGAAACTTCGGTGGTCAGAGTACGAGCAGAAAAATCCTTCATGAGATACATGAGCTCAAAGAAGAGATGGAGGATATGGTGAAAGAGATGAAAATTTTGAGGAAATTAGTAGAGAAAGGTCTGTGATCATTTTGGGCTCTGTATAGGTTAGTACTGCGTTTTACCATCTTCAGCTTCTCACTGTTCTTGTGCGGTATGAGCGGTCGTATCTGCATGATCACTCCTCACCCCTTCTATGGATCTACCAAAGGCCGGACAGTACACGATATGTCACGCTTCATGCAAAAAATGGGCCAGTTTTCAAGATGAGAGACGGAATGTTATGCTAATGTTAAGATGAATTTGTACTTCGATCGTCACGAAAACGACATGAATAATATCTCGTACAAGTCACGCTTCATGCTTTCCTTCCCGCACTTCCAGAATCCGAACGGCCCAAACATAGACGTGACTGATGACTCCCCGCCCAGCGCGAACAGCCAGCCAACCATACAAAAGGGGCAGAACGAGACTCATTCCACATTTGGCTTTCTCTCCATTTCATACTTCCCTTCTGGGTATGTCCTGCGCCTTTCTAGCTGGGTCTTTTGATACGGGTCAAGACGTGACTACGTGACTGAACTTTCAGCCTTCTCCAAGCCAGGACTGTCACGCTCTCTCTCTCGCTCACCATATAAACCCCTCAGCGATGATGGATCTGCAGCAATATCCCACAATCTTCATCCCACAACATCCTTCGAATTCCAAGTCCTCAAACCGACCACCACCCATCTCACAGCACTACTCGTCTACCACTTAACAAACCTCTTCGCGACCAATATCTTACCTACAAGTACCGAACTCTACACTCCGACCTTCACAATGACCTTGGAAGACCTTGAGAAAATGATCGACCACAAGACGGGCAACGAGTCCAAGCTTGATTGGAAGTGCTTTATGCCTGACTGTGACTGTAAAGGGTGAGTTTTCAGTATCATTCCTCCCATATCAATCCTGCATCGGATCGAGCTACCAATGCTAACACTCAGACCTCACAACTGTCACAGCAGCTTCTTCGACCGCGAGTTGGCACCGTCCCTTCGTCTCTCCGGATTCTCGACGGCAGGTTCCGTCGAGCCAACGAGCCCGTCATCATCGGTCTCGGAAGTAAGCTTCAAGGTTGAAGGTGACGAAGACTATGTTGTCGAACACTCTCCTGTGTGAGCTGCTCCTCTGTTTTTGATGATCTTGACGAGGCTGACATAGCATAGCTTTGGGAACGAAGTTCAGACCGACACCGGTCCCCTAGCCGGATTCACCATCTTCGACGGTATCTTTGCAAGGAATGAAGTCCGCGATACTCAAGCCAAAGTGTCGACCGCGAAAGTAATTGACAACATCTCGAACAAGGTCGACCAAGGAAAGCTCACGGCACCCTTCAGTCCTTCTCGACCTGTCAAATCTATCCATCGTGCGGCTTCGTTAGGCGCCCAATCGGTGCTGCTCAAAACGGGTATCCCCGTTGCCGATTTTGAGTGAGTCATTCCTTGCTGACCGATACTTTCAGTTCACAATTCTTCAAGTTCCTCCAAAAAGGTTCTACCGCTGACGATCAGGGATACCGAAGAGCTTGTTGACGACTCGGCTCGAGGTCATATGTCATTCCATTCGCCCGACTCTACCCTGATCGGTCTCGGCTCTCCTACGACTCTCTCGTCCGGACCGACCTTCACCACGTTGGCTGGTCAGCCAGAGGGTCGTACCGGTAAACGTCTGACCAGGAAGCATATGTCCGCGACCTCGCTGGATTATCTCGGTGACGAATCGTTCTGGTTGAAAACGACTCCTTCAAAGAATGGGACAAAGGTAAGTACATCATCGTGCCCTCTCCTCTCCTCTCTTGTGTATGATCCCACTCTTCCACCTCTGCTCTCCCATTATGTTCGTGGACGTCGTATGAAGCCCACTTTCCTCCGAGTCAAAAGCTAACGACAACCAGGTCTCGACTTCGCCCTTCCTCTCCACCCGTCGAAACCGCCCACATACATATGTCCTGAACGCCGAGACAATCGGTAGACTTACCGACGAAGCAGTCAAAGAAGGTCATTATGTCGTCCCTGAAGAGCAGTCGAAGTCTTCCAACGTCAGATTGGGTTCAGCCGTCAAGTACGATGTGGGTCGGTTCTTAAAGAGGGTCGTCTGGGGCAAAAATGCCCACACTGCTTAAGCTCTTGATGAGTGTTCATGCTTTCCGGGTAAGTTTGGGATTGGGAATTGGATTATGCAGTTTGTAGATACTGAATGCCTTATGCACCAAAAACATGTACAAAAAACCTCGACTGCGCAACTGATCACTGACGCAATTGGGGGTGGGTCGGGTATCAAATTAACCGATGCGGTGCCCCATGATTTAGCGCCTGACCCCCTGACCCCTGAAGGTGAGAGATCCGAGCTCGTGCGAGCAGTCAGTGATCAGTGGATCAGTGGATTGCTGGTGCTTTGTGGAACTCTCTCTTGATACTCCGTCTCCTTCCGAATCACTACTACACTCACACTCGAACAGTAACACTGCTACAGTATACACCTTTCAAACTTACAACTACTCAAAAACTCTATCAAAGCCCACAATCTCCTCTACTCTTCTTCACTTTGACTCGTTACGCCAAGATGACCCGTACTGAGGTATGTCTCTTCACCATTCCATCTCACCCTAACTTCCCTCCGTCCTTTCCCTCAACTACGTCTCCCTTCTCCCCCAAACCGCATCATCACCATCCCCTCCCCTCGATGTAATCACAGTTACAATGGGACAATCCAACTGAATCATAGCGTGCCGTTTACCCCAATGTCCTTAACAAAGACCGTCATTCCAGGTCCGGAATGGCCAAAACCGAAGCTGGACACAAGAACGGTGCCGGGGCGCACAACTGGGGTTCCATGGCTCAAGAGGAACAATACATCGCTTTAGCTTCTGCAGATGTGGCTAAAGAATTCGAAGATTACCCAGGAGCTCTTCCTATCTTGCCCAACTCGCACAAAGATGGAATGATGGGAAAGATCAATGAGAAAAAAGGAGATGTGGATGTTGATACCGAGACCGAGACAGTTGCGACTAGTCCGAGTGATAGTATGTCTTCTGTGTCGGATGCAGGGGAAGGTAAAATTGGAAATGCAGGAATGAGGAGGATGAGTAATGTTAGTGTGGAAGAAAGGGAGAAAGCTAGGGTTTATAGGGAAGGTGTTTTGCATCATGCTTCGGGTTGTGAGTTCTTCCTCTCCCATTCTGTTGTCTTGCTTCGTGCATCTTAGGCAGTACTTCCTGGTTAAGGTTTGCTTTTGAGAAGTTGACTTTTTCTATCTTGCCCTGCCCGCATCTTCGTCTGGTCGACTCACTATCACTACCCCCTTCTTACTCCGCTCCGCTCCTACCACTTCCCCCTTTCCTTTTCACAATCGTACCGCTCTCTGATACGTCAATTTACCTGTTAATGTCATACTGACACCCAGCCGTCGATCTCGCACACATCGCAAAGACCTCGTACGGCATCGCTCAAGTCCAGACCGGCATCGAAGGTTTCTCTACCTCTCCCAACAAGACCAAAGGTTATCTTGTAAGTCACGTCGTCATTGCTCTACTTCCCCGTACATCATCAAGATGAGTTCGAGGTGAAGGCTGATCAAAAAGAAACAGTGAATATCATCGAATATCAGTGCATATGCTCAGAAACGATTAGTGTAAGAGTATTCCAAGTGAGAAGTGTATGAAGTGCAAGTAAACAGAAATCGAATTCATGTGTACAAGTCAATACGTCATGCAGATTGTGAATGATCAGATTGTGTTTTGGTTCTCAGTCGTGTGAGAGATATGAGGCATGTATACGCAATGCGCGAAGGACGGTTAGGGCTGGCTCGTACATATAAATTAAAATAGGACCATGGATATCTCACGGTGACGGGGAAGTTGTAAGGAGAGTAGGTGATATCTCCATGCTGGCTGCTGGGCATCTTGCCTGCTGGCTGTTCAGCTGATCAGCTGTCTGGCATGTCTGGCCGATGTCAGACTTGTCTCTTGAAACCCTTCTGACCAGGTCGTCCGCTTCGTTCTTTCATTTGCTTCCCTATCTACTGACTTGCTTCTAAGGTGATTTCAAGCTATTCATGCTGGGTTTGAACTCCAAGTAATCATCACCACCAACATCATCAGCATGCCAGTATCAGCGGAGACATCACATTATTTCATCTCTCAGAATATGGACAGTCGGTGAATGTCAGTGCCTGAAACGAAATCCGCGAATTTCCCTTCCATTCATCTCTTCTTCTTCTTCTTCCCATCCCTACATATCTTTGTCGCACCATGTCAGACCACTCATACCCTCCCTCAGTCGGATCCAAAAGACCCAACCGATGGGATAATTCTCCAGGAGGTACAGACGATAATGATCTCAATGGATCATCTATCAAAAAACGTATCATTCGACCTAAAACCCTTCGGCGACCACAAGATCCATCCCCATCTCGTCATTCCAATCCATCCTCTCCTCCTTCACCAGCTCCACCTCCAGCTCCACCACCTGACCTCCCCCCTCCTCGTCAATCCAGCCCCATACGACCTTTGAAACGAGATATACCTCCCCGAGCACCACCCAAAGCACCCCGATTACCACCTCCCCCCACCTGTCCCCTCGCTCCTCCCCGTTCGGCCCACCCGGGTCTGATGTCATGTCGTTCCGTTTACAATTACACTAGATTGAATCATATAGAAGAAGGGACTTACGGAGTCGTCTTTCGTGCGAAATGCAACGATACAGGAGGGATATACGCTTTGAAAAAGTTAAAGTTGGAAGAGGAAAAACAAGGGTTTCCTATAACTAGTTTAAGGGAGGTTATGGCTTTGATGATTGCCGGATCTCATGAGAATGTTGTGGGGATAAAAGAGATTGTAGTTGGGGATACATTGAATCAGTGAGTTAATTCTTCTTTCTTCTCTTCAATACTTCCATCATCATCTCGAACGAAATACAGTACGAATTCCGCTCAGTAACAATTTTATCAACTGGTCAAAGATGATGTTGTGTTCGATTTTCAGGAAGTAAAGGAGACAGGGTTGTTGTTGTTGTTAGCGGTGGTGGTGGTGGTGGTGGTCGTCGTCTCGGAACTGTCGATTGATGAAATAGAATATTCATAGTCATGCCATTTATCGAACATGATCTTAAAACCTTACTAGCCGATATGCCTCACCCTTTTGTCCAAAGCGAAATCAAAACTCTAATGCTTCAGCTCCTCTCCGCCGTCGCTCACTGTCATGCAAATTGGATCGTAAGTTTTATCCCATCTCCTTTTTGGGTGTCCTGAATGTACAAACGAGTTGATAGACAGTTACATAGAGATCTCAAAACATCAAATTTGTTGATGAATAACAGAGGACAAATCAAGGTGGCAGATTTTGGATTGGCTAGAAAGTTTGGGGATCCATTAGGAGAAATGACTCAATTAGTTGTGACGTTATGGTATAGGTGAGTTCAATATGTCTACTTCTCTTCATCCCCCTTGACATCTCTGCTTGTTCTTTCGTATCCCTATACTAAATCTCTGTTCTTGAACAAATTCCTCCATTCCCGCCAAACCTTTGCTTTCTCATTATGGAATATTCATCCTCTTCTCCATATCTGTTCTGGCTCTGCACTTGTCTCTCTTGCCAAGACCATTGTATGGTCGTCATCGACATGCAGTGATTCGAAGAATGTCAGTCGCTAAGACGCCAGAGCACCAGAACTACTGTTGGGGGCAAAAGAATACGACAAACCTATCGACATGTGGAGTGTAGGATGTATATTTGCAGAATTAATGTTGAGCGAAGCTCTTTTTCCAGGTCGAGGAGAGATTGATCAGATAAATAGGGTATGTTTCCTTTCCCCTCTACTCCTCCTTCTTTGTAGCGAATACAAATTCCCACTTTCGAATGTTCCTTTTGGCTGACGGAAAATAGATATTCAGTTTATTAGGACAACCTAATGATGATGTCTGGCCGGGATATACAAAATTACCATTAACCAGTAAACTCAACACCCTCGGTTCACCGTAAATCTATTTACTCCCTCTTTCTTTCTCCCCCTCTTCCTCGATCCCTTCCTCATTCTTCTCCTCGCACTCCCCTTGACTCTTCCAACCCCTGCAAATTTGCTTTTAACCTTCTAAAGGTCTCTCTTTATTACTACAATGAGTGAGAAAGAATGATAGTGTTGGTTGATATGATCGTGATTGACTATTTCAGTTTTTCAACACTTCGACAGAAATTCAAATATCTGTCTTCAGAAGGACATAACCTTCTAGCAGCTTTATTATGTTATGACCCTTCACGTCGTATAACAGCTGAAACAGCTGGTAAACATGTTTACTTTACGTCAGTCTTCCCTCTACACTTTTTAACCTTTCCTCTTATCTTTCACTCCAATTGTCAGAATCATCCTCGTCCTTCTTTCTTTCTCGAGCCGATCCAATCCCCCACGATCTCTCTCATTTTGTCTCATACATCTCTCCATATCAGGATTTGTAGAGATAAGCTTAAACCGACGATTTACGATCCTTAAGATGAACCAAGCATGGATCTCGCCTTCAGTCTTGCTGCCTTAGGAAGAGGAAAGAAATGCCGAGTGATTGGTCGATCCACTGATAAACAGAGAAAACCCAATGCCAAAACATCCTGATCTGTTCGCTTCTTTCCCTAGTCAAGCAGCTGGAGAAAGACGTCATAAAGCTATCGCGAGTCCTTCTGCTCCTATTCGTCTTGATCGTGTACACAAAGGGGATATGGATCTTGAATCGTTTGTCTAACCGACATCTTTCTCCTCTCCATCATCTATGTAGTCTCCACAATCTTTTCTCATATGTAATTTATGATCAAACACTCATCATCATTTGCATAGACTCATACATGGTCCGTCTGTATACATGCATGGCAATACTTCTTCTGTTTCTTAATAATCGTACAAGATATAAATGCTACATGCTACATGCTATGATAAGGACATATGAGGCGAGATTGACACAAACGATGATATGCACAATGCGAATGCGATATGACCAGATAGATTGAGATCAAAGCTACGATACGACAAGACGAGTGGGATCAAGGTCGAACAAAAGAAGTATCGAGACCTTCGGAGAAATCCCAGATAGTGATTCTACAATCAAAACCAGAAGATACGATCTTTCTCCTGTCACCTGTGACGGCGAAAACTCGACCGGAATGAGCACCAGCTAAAGCGAGGAGTAAAGAACCGGATTTCCTATCCCATACCTATCCATCAGCCTCATCTATAGACGTGTCTCCACAACAATACGAGAAGTCCAACAACGAACCGAATCATGTGAATGATTCAAGGAGAGAATATGAAAACTTCACAAGGAAGTGTGGATATTCCTAAAAACACAGAAAATACTTCAAGACTCACTTTTACAGTAGAATCATAACTTCCAGACAAAATCACCTCTTCTCCCAAATGTAAACTCCTGACCAAATCCGTATGTCCTCTATTAAAACATCGCCCACAAGATCTACCCTCCACTCTTGTCCCCTGTGGACAGATACAAGACGCCCAACAAATGGGACCTTTGTCCAAGACGAGCTCATCATGATCACTGTTGATAGGAGACATATCCACATCATGTTCCGTATCGAGCATTTCTCTGAAAGTGAGGTCTTCCATCGGTGGAACCAACTCTGAGGATACCGTTCTGACCGAGGTGAAAGACGAGGTAGAACGAGCGAGGAGATGAAAAGTACGTATACTAGCATCGGCAGATCCTGTGATAATGGTACCTTTGTATGTATACCCCATTTTTGGTTCAAAAGAGGAGTATGGTGATGGTTGAGAGGAGAAAGCGACGGAGGCGATTCCCCTAGAATGTGCTTCTACAGCTGCCAGCAAAGAACCGGTATGGATATCCCAGACTCTGACGGTCTTGTCTCCGGAACCAGACACGCTGTAAGTCAGTCACATAGCAGAACACACCTTTTTTGGGGTCGTTAGATAGGGTGTTGTGAGGGTTATGAGATGAAACGTCTAGAATCTCACATGTATTCTTTGGAAAGCCCCACGGCATTCACTGCACCTCTATGTCGACCTTCTTCTGAGGACGCATGGATCACGAGGGTCTCTTGCAGATCTTTAATCGTGAATAACCTAATAGTTTTGTCTGGCCGGATCAGCCGCTAATCTCCTATACTGTGACCTTCATCCACTCACCTTTCGAGCAGCTGACGACACGTTCATCATCTCCCTTGACGCAAAGCACCGAATCTTCATGTGCCTGACAGACCAGATCGGGTGTACCATCTCCATGCTCCACATCCCAGAGACATATCTTTCCATCACTCCCACTGCTCACCGCCATGATACGAGTCTTCCCATCCTTCTGTTTCCCTATCGAGTCGTATGATTTTAATGGTGACGGTCCAAACTCGACCGCGCCCGACTCCCGTCTGTTTTCCTCGATTGGTACTTCCACAACACAATGAGCTAGTACAGATCCTGTATGACCTCCATGGAAGATCTTTACAACTCTAGGCTTGGTGCACGCCAGTTGCCATAATCGAAGAGTGTTATCTCTCGATCCCGTGAGAAGCCATTCGTTCCCATTCACCACCACGGGCTGAGTCTGCGTCGAAGATGAAGAGAATCCTGGATGACTCGCACGTCGGGATCCCCGTGAGGAAGTGAGGTTCATGAACCCATCGAAGGGAGATGGGGGAGGTGGAACAGTAGAATCTCCACACACTTGTGCCAGAGAAATCTTCATAGGTCGATGTATGAGCTCAAGAGCGTAAACGCACTCGGAATGACCTGGCAAACCTCCAGCTTCGATCGAGGTGATTGCGTCCAATGATAGCTTGGCTGGTACTCGAGGGCGTCCTATTCTTCCCCTCGGTGTAGGGTCTAGCGATGATAATTGTAGAGGAGACAAACCTCGCATACGACGCGAGAGAATGTCATGAACCAAATGAAGATGCTTGAAGTTGACTTGAGGGTGAGGAGCTGGGAGCGGGAGGTGGGATAGAATGGGCGGTTCGTCCAATGAGGAATGATCATGTCCCATCGTAGAGGGTACAGGAGCCGGACGGGAAGATTGATAACGGATATGGGTAGGTAAAGTTGAGCTCGATCTTTCCCAAACGCTTCTACGCATACCTGGACGAGGCGAGGAATGAGAGGCTACACCGCCACCACCACCTAAACCGCCTTGAGACTTCAAAACGTCCAGCAGTTCCATCTCAACATTATCATCAGAGTCGTCATCGACATACGGAGAAGCTGGAGCTACATGATTGGAGAGATGTAATAGCTGGCGATGGAGAGATAGATCAGCCCATGTCGCTTCGGCTGGGACGATGGTCGGGAGATGGGCAGCACACAAGCGACCCCAAAGGGCTAGAAAGGTATCAGCTTGATATGATCACCAGTGAGGCTGACTTACATTGATCATTGATTCTTCTTGCCCATGTGCGGGATACTAGACAACAAGATAAAAGGTCTTTGATGTCCAAGTTGGCCAAAATCAGCATTGTCAGTTCTGAGGGCAGGAGCTGATTGTCAGTGGTATTTGATTGGAGTGAAAATGTCCTACTCACTCCGACGATGTCCTTTTGCATCATATGGAACAGTCTTTGGTTCACGTCAATAACCTCTAGGTGAGATCAGCCAAAGTCTTAGGAATGTAGGGTCGCTCACCGTTCCGAGGTAAAGACCATAGAAGTGTCAGGGCCAATTCTGCGTCATGAGCTAAAGGCGAGATGTCAGGGGTCTGGCTCACCTCTTCTAGAGGGCCCATCGAGGTTCAGAGCAGCAGCTACGATCTCTGCTCTTTGAGGTAAACCCCCACTGACGTTCATCCTAAGCTACCGTGCTGCCTGCGTGACCGAGTTGCAACGTAGCTCCTAACCGATCTAGTAAGTAAGTGCTTACAGTAGTTTTACGAGTAGGCTACCAGGCCTGCTTCTTATGGCCATCGGCAATAGATGAAACCGCCACATTGCGTCATGCTCATCTCTGCCGAAACTCCGGAGTACACTTGGCTGGAACCCTCCCTCGTCCTCATAAAGCCGTCAATTCCCCCTCTCTCATCTCTTTACAACCCCTACTCCAGCTGTGTTGAATTCTTCTCGTTGCCCAAGTCGTCTTTCTCAGCAAAGGTGAGTGCTATGACTGAAACTCCCTCTCCCATCAGTTTGCAAATGATAGAATAACAAGAATCGCTACTCGCGAACAGCCCCTCCGGGGGTGAAGACGACTCAATTATCTATAGTGAGCTTCTTGTTTTAAACTACGAGGCGTGAGCTGACTTTGTTCTCTCTTTGATCGTCACTCCGTTCCGATTTCACTCCTGCAGCCCAAATTGTAAGTCTGCTCGCGTCGTTCGCGATCCGCAGCTGACTGGTAGTCTGATGCGCTCAACTCCTTCCCTCCTTACCTCGCATCTGCCAGTCGGACAGTGCTAACTCAAGGGACAGCTTTATCGTTCCCTCTCACCAGACGTACCTGTTTGCACAGTCCAACACCGCGTGAGTGAGCCACCTTCTACCTCTCTCACCTCGCCTAAGATTAGAAAAACCAAAAAAAGACAAGCATATATAGGACCTATTGGGTTGACTGCACTCCTTTTCGTATGATGGCGCCTCATTCTCTCTAATTCCCCATGATCCTCGTGAAGAGAGCTTATATCGAAGGCCCCACTCAACATTAATCACTTTCTCCCTCCTCAACTGGCCTCGCCCAGCATGCCGCCAACGGTAGCTCATCATGCTGGTGCGCGGTACACTACCAACCGACGCGACCCCAAGCTCGCTGTCAATGCCAAGGAATTAGAGTCAGTCCTTTCTTTCTTTTTTGTGCCGATGACTGATCCAGCACAGATGTCTTCCCTCAATGGACAGCCGAGCATATTACGACATTCCTTCTTCGCCGTCCACCTCTTCCGATGACTCCGACTCTCCGCCTCCACCTCCATCCAACTTGCTCACCAACTCGGGTAACAAACTTATCCCCGGCGCCCGTTTCATGCGCAAAGGCAAGCTCTACGCCTGGAGTCAGGACTCTGAAGATACCACCAAAGAACTGCGAGCCAGGAAGAGACTTCAGAATGTCCTCGAACAAATCATGCCCGAAGCCGCGACTGAGGTAGGAGCGCCAATTCCCCAAAATATTCTCGATCGTAAATCTAAGCGGGACAGTAAAAAGCGCAAACGAGCCGAAGAAAAGAGCTTCCTGTTGCCTCATCTCGTGAAATCCCCCTCACCACCCGCGTCCACCACCAAACTGGCTCCTCTGCTTGCCGCTCCCAATTCGTATCTGGAGCTCATGATGAACGACGCTCTGAAACACTCTCTTGGCGATGATACAACCGAAAGAGGCTTGCAGCGGACGACCTGCGAGTTGTTAGAGGGTGAAAGGGGTTTGGCAAATTCTCTCGGTAGGCTGCAGGAGATCCTCAGAATCCGGGCCAGGGAGGTGAATCCGGGTTCTGAAGCAGGCGAAGAGAACGTCGTGCAGCCGAACGGACACCACCCAGCAGACGACGCCATTATGGAGTCTGCTGACCCAGCTGCCGCAGAGTCGAATACGTTGGTACCTCCCCTGCCCCACATTTCTGAAACGGATAATCTCTGGCGGGTGACCCAAGAACTCCTTCAGACCCAACCCCAGCCTGAGATACAATTTACTGTCACCCCTCCGGGCGCCGCGGGACCATCGACCACTCCGGGACCGACTCCCGATGTCACTGTCACTTCGCTTCATCGTCTGTTCACCTGCCCGTCTGGCTTGACACTCAATTCAAAGCCTGCGTCCAATCATCCGGGACTGCAATTCCCTACGGACCATCAGATGCGACCCAAGCACATCAAGTATAATCTGAACCTCGGTACGCAATGTCGTGCGGTGGATGACGCACTGGAACGGATCATGGAGTTGTTTTCTGATTGCAAAGAGTACGAACGGCGTTTGGAGGAGGCTCGTCAACGGGTGGCTGATGTGGCGAGAGTGAGGAAGAGAGTGTGGGGGGTGGTCAAGCAGCGAGCGCAGAAGGAGGTTGATCAGATACGAGGGCAATGAGTAGCATTCGAATGTGCGTATTGCACACTGAGGATCAATGACAAGATTACATACAGTTGTACATTATATATTGTTGTACAATATGTAAAGTATGTAGCCAGTATCAAAACCCTGCTGGTCAGCTCACTCATGTCTGAACGTTCGGAAGACTGACCATATTTTGTCCCTGCCAGTCTTGCGCTCTTCTTGTTTTGAGCGATGCGTTCTTCCAATGCTTCTCGTTGCGTGAAAGCGGTATTGAGTAAACTGGTAAGTTGATGTCTTTCCGCCGCCAATCCTTTGGTTTGTCCGATGGCCTAATTATCAACTCTACCCTCAGAAGTAGGATGTCACATACCTTATAATCATAATCGTTCCCGGGCAACTTAGGTTTGACCATCAATTTCCTTCTCTCCTCTTCTTCTCTAGCCTTGCGTATACCTTCACTAACGTCCACATCAACCACTTGATCTTGTAAGATATCATATTCGTCCCAATGTCGACCCACACGACCATCTTCACCTCTGGTTCTCGCACTTTCCTTTTCTCTACCTTCAACTTCAGAGGATGACGGAAAGAAAGAGGAATAATAATCGGGATCGTATGCTGCCCATTGACCAGAAGGGAGTTGATAGTAACCCGGATATGGATCTAAGGCGGTGGGAACGGGTGGTACGAAGTCTGAAACGGTAGGAGCGGATGTTATGGAGTTTGGTTTGAGGGAAGGTTTGGAAGAAGAGGTGGAGGTAGTGGATTGAGCTGATATTTAGTTCTCATCCATAGTCCTTTGTCGTGATAATTCTCAGTTATTCGACTATTGAAGAATTGTCGAGATGGAGAGTCGCTAATGTGAAACCAGTTGAAAGCCGCAGTACTGTGAGATGGGAGATGCGGAATATCAGATGAACAAGGTCTATATAAACGTCATGGAAAGGTAAGATCGAAGCGGAATGAGTGAAGAAACCCACCTAATCCGAATAAATCAAAAGAATCATCTTTCATATCCTCCGTCTTCGATATGGAAGAAGTAACATTTCCCTTCTGATCACCTATCTCTTTTACTTGAGAACCTACTAATCCACGTGACTCTTCTGATTTCATAGGTGTAGAAGATGAAGTTTTTGTTGCCATACTTTTGTTCACGAGAAGAGAAGAACGACCTGTGGCTTGGGGTAATTTACGTTTAGGAGCGGGGAGCATAGCTAAGAGAGAAGAACTGTTATGAGCTTTTCATTCTGCATTCTACTCATTGACACTGAGACAAAAGTGACTCTTAAACTACTTGAAAGGGACTATATTTCTCTTCTAGACGTAGTTCCGACTTCTTTTTCCATCACTTCACCATTCTCTGAAAGTTCGTTCCATGTGGATGACAAACACAATCCTAATATTTTGGTCCCTCTCTAAGGAGATTATCAGAATATATATTGTACGCGATGAGTGATAGAGTGAGATGGGCGATATGTGATAGAGTGAGATCCGATGAAATAAGATTGTGAGAAGAGAAGTCAGTGAATATAAGATGGAAAGAGAGAAGTAGGAACAAGTAAAGACAAGGCCCGAGGATAGATGGAAATGGGTAATGTGAAGAAAAAAACATACGATCCAGCACCTTTCAAACTTCCCATTCCTTTCTTTTTCTTTTTATCAGGTCTATCATCATCATCATCATCATCATCATCTACAATATCCTCATTTTTCTCCCCTTCGGTCAATTTGGTAGGTTTCGGAACGTCCAAAGTTATTTTTATAGGTGCTTTTCTCTTTGGTAAAGGTTTAGCAGCAGTCTTGATCGTTTGGGTAGGTATGTTCTCCGATTGTCTTTCAACTTCTGATTCAGATTCAGAGTCGGATTCGGATGCGTAATTTGCCAGAAGCATCGTGTGTCTTGTGACTTCACGGTACTGATAGCTAGGATAGAGAAAGAAATCTGATATGAAAGTTACGAGCAGAAAGAGTCTGAGTGGATCGTTGAAATTTGGATAGATCGCCACCTGTTTTTCTTGCTCACTTGCTACCAAAGTGGCACCCGTTCCCCTTGGTTGGCAAATTGGCGAGTAAAGTGTCTTGTGGCCGTGCGGAGGACACAGAGTACGGTAGAGAAAAAAAGAAACGATGCAATGCATGGCTAAGCGTACAATGTCATGCTCTATGGTACAAACAAATCCTAATGGGAAGCATAGTACAGTAATCTATAGACGTATTTACACCGTATGTGTGTCGTCATTTTTACAAGTCGTGTGTTGGGGGTGATGATGAAATCGTGGATCGTGGAATGAGGGGGATGTTGGAAAGGATATGAAGCGAGAGATGGAGAGAGGGATGAATTAATACATTGCTAGTTCTCCAAGGGATATGAGGACCTGATATGTAAGTATTTATATATGTTCAATAGATGAACAACTTACAATTTGAGCTTCGGGACGTCCCATGTCGCACTGTCTGTCAGCTAGGTCGATCGAAAGTGCAAGTGGAAGTAGGTCATATATGAGGTTCTTCCGTGTTCTTTAAAGGACAGGAGTACTGAGTGTTGACATATCGAGCAGGGGAACGATGGGAGATGGAGACGATGGAGCGAGGTATTCCTTGTAGACGGGAGTGAGGGGGCACAGATGTAACATTCAAATTTACTCACAGGTCCTCCTCGCAACTCACGCCAACGAGCGGAATACCATTGTAAAACCTGACGTTCACGTGGAGATCTGTGGTAAGCAATCTCTCACTAAATACCGGTTCCCCAACTGCCATTTGTCAAAGCTCTCAGACTCTAGAGCAGTGGGGAGGACAAAGGCATTGAATTGTGGCAAGACTTTGAAGACTTGAGGATGGAGCTAACGGATGATGTGACATATGTAAGAGAACGCAGACCCGAAGGGAGATCAGAGGTCACGATGTAAGACATCAACTCACAATGGCATTCCGGAAAAAGACCTCTGTTTCAATTTCGACATGAACATTTGCACCTCTGCCAACCATGTCCTCAACCCCATCATCCCCTGTACAACAGCTAAAGGCTCTACCAACCTGATCGTCAGCTTGGATCTCCGATAAACGTCGTAATCTTTTCGTCCGACCAAGACGGGGTGACGATGTCATGAGATAGTGACAAGGGCGAAAGGATGAATGGAGGATCGTTTTCGAGCTCGATGATACTGAAAAAGCGATCTGACCGGAGGATTAGAGATAGGGTAAGCGGTCAGATAGAGGGGAAATGAACATGGAGACGTAGAGTGAGGAAGAGGTAATGTTCAAAATTGATCAACTCACTTGTTGAGCAATTCCAAGTAAATCTCCGCATTGACAAGTGGCATACGTTTCAGCTTTTCCAATTCCATCTGCACCAAACCCAACGTCATAGAGGCCATCTTAATTTGCGCACCGGAAAAATGACCCATGGGCATAGGCGATGAGAACATCATTTTAACCGGTTAATTCCTTGGCCGGCGAGCCGATGCTGGATTTGCTCGAGGCTGAAACGATGCGAGGGGGTCTAAGGGGGGATAAGAGGTCCTGAAACTTGAACTCTGACTGAATTGGGTGAAGACGGCTAGAGGAAGAAAGAAGGCGAGAGGAGCAAGATCGCGTTTAGGTGTTGTGGAAGGCCTGGAAAGCGTGAGAAGATGTCACGGCCAAAATGGGTAGGGAAGTGTAGTTAGAAAAGTGTCTGATTTGCAGGAACAGGGGTCCTAGGAGATTGAATATATAGGGATGGGAAGATTCGGTCTTGTGAAGTGGGGCGAGGAATACGGGTGTGAGAGAGGCGGATCTTGTATGTTTGAAGCTATGAGAGTCAAGCCGGCCAGCGGTGCTCGAGTATCGTGCGTGTCAATCGGGTGCTTCTCAGGCTAGACGAGCTATCGGTCAAATCGGGCTGAACCAGTCAGAGATGGTGGATTGTCCGTTGTTTTCGTCTTCGGGTGGTATAAAGGATCGGGAGTACGCGGTGAGAGGCGTGGGTGAAGGGGGCAGTGGGAGAAGTTGTGAGAGCTATGACGTGAGGAGAGATGAAAAGAGGTTGAATGAGTGAATTATATCAATGTTACAAGACACAGATGTTGATTTCTTGATGGAGAAAGGAAGTTATCCGGATGCTGTTCACACCCCTGCCCCTCGCCGGGGGCAGGAAGGAGGTCAGGGGTATCGAGCATTAATTTTCAAAAGAGTTTGTATAGTGCGTCAGCTTAATGTGGAGGCGGAGTGCCCGAGGAAGAAGGCAATGAGGAGGTGCAAGGAGGTGGAGAATAAAGGAGGACAAAGGTAGAAGTCTCGGAAGGACCTTTTCACGGACTACCGAACTCCGTACATCCGGCGCCGGCCTCGAGCCAAGAAGCGCAGAGGAGGGAGCAGTGTGTGATACAGCAACTGGCTGTAGTGAATGGATGATCGTCATGTCATCTCGTAGAATGGGGTGCAAAATTGGGATGATTGAAGATATTCCAGGGGGGGAGAAGGGGCTTCAAACTCCCACCGAGTTGTGAGATTAACCGGTGACAACCGGATTACCGAGTGACAAGTGGTGAATTGACTTTGAAGAATGGAAGATTGTCAGAAAGGGATGAAACACGACGTAAGTATGAGTATTCCAGGGGAAGACGACACCAAGTAACAAAGAAAGGGATTGGAAGAACACACCAAACGTAGATCCCCCGCGGGGTGAAGGAGCTAGTACTCGTCGGACGCAATAAACCATGCGATGCGAATGCATGAATGGAAGATCAGGGTAGAGGACAAAGGGTCGTTGTATTGGGATAGCAATTCCGGATAATCGGGCTGCCTACGGAGGACAGCATGAGAAAGGGGCTAAGCTGGAAGGTATCAAATGCGGCGAGAGGAGGAGGGCATTATGTCATAGCTTGGCCGGTCAGCGTATTTCTCGGAGTAGGACAAATACGCGACATACCGTACTTGGGACCACCGCCGCCTTCGGGGACTGCTCATCAGCTCTGACATGTGGGAGATTGGATGCAAACGGACCGGTCCAGGTTATATCTTGAGTGGGCGTTTTGATCGAGCATGTCTTGCACTAACAGTTCAGTATACTTTTAGCATCTTCTTTGGTAACTTACATGTATGCAATTCTAAAGGTCAGCGTGAGCGTCACTTCAGTACAAAGAGACATACCTGGGAGTTAATGACAAACTTCTTTCCCTCCGCGTCCGCTTCACCGGCCTCCGCGTCGGCGTATTCGTACACGGCAGCCGGGCAGACATTCCCCAGCAATCCGGCATAATCTTTCACATTCGTCTCTGTATGTCTTGCGCGGGCATCTTGTTCGTCCGGTAATCGAAGATGAACGGGTTGGTTCTCTGCGTGATTCGTTCCTGTCAGACTGACTGAAGTGAGGATGTCGAATGACAGCTTTCCGTCTGGTTGGGGATACTGAATAGGTTTAACCTCACTGAAAGCATCAGCGACGCCGCGACTATTACAAACCGTTGAAAAACCCGAAACAAGGAGACAGGTCAACGTTGGATCACCCACCTGGACTTCTTTGTCGCCGCATAATCTTCAATCTTGTTGTGAAAAGTCCACGGAACTCGACCTCTCAAGATCAAGCTGTCCACACCTGAATATGCCATACCACCCCAAAGGCCCAATGGGTTATGAAAGGATGGTCTCAAATTTCGAACCTCCTTCAGCTCTTTCCAGATGTACGACGCCTTTACCGCTTCTTCATATGGAGACATATCGAGCGGTTGGTCCGTGTCTATCTCTTTTTCAGGATGTAGCGCTGAGTAAGCTGTTTCTGCAGCTAGTATACCTGATTTCATGGCGTTGTGTGTTCCCTTTATCTGCTTCGTCAACCGGTGGAATACGGCCCAAGCGGATACTGACTTTTGGGACATTCAGAAAACCAGCTGAACAACCTATCAGGGCTCCCCCGGGAAAGTGAAGTTTCGGTATTGATTGGAGACCACCTTCGTTCAATGCTCTAGCGCCGTATGCCAATCTTTCTCCGTCTTTCAAGATGTTGGCAAAGAAAGGATGATGTTTCATTCGCTAACACATGAGCTTTTCATGGACCTACTTTTACGGAAGCTCACCTGAAATTCCTTGTATGGCGAGAGATATGGATTTTCATAATCCAGTCCGACCACCAAACCTATACTGACCATATTGTCTTCCATGTGGTAGAGCCAGCTCCCACCATAAGTCTTGTAGTCTAACGGCCACCCGAGGGTATGTACCACCTTTCCGGGTTCATATACCTCATCCCGTACTCTCCAAACTTCTTTGATACCTATTCCATACGTCTGAGGATCAACCCCTTCTCGTAAGTTGAATCGTTTCTGTATTTCTTTTGACAGACTGCCGTGTGCTCCTTCAGCTATCAAGGTGACTTTGGCATGAAACTCCATCCCAGGCTCGTACGAATCTTTAGGTTGTCCGTTCTTGTCCAAACCGACATCTCCAGTACAAACACCTTTGACACCAGTTCCATCCTCGGTGTAAAGTACTCGAGAACCTGCAAATCCTGGGTAGACTTCGACTCCAGCAGCTTCGGCTTGTTCTCCCAACCAAGCGGTATAGCGAGAGAGCGAAACGATGTAATTACCTTTGTTATTCATTTGTGGAGGGTGGGGCATGGGGAAAGAAGATGAGGACGTGAGGAATCGCATACTGTCAGAGGTAGCAGGCTGGTTCAGAGGTGCACCTAGTGACTTCCAATCCGGCAAGAGTTCGTCCAATGCCCGAGTTTCTATGACTGCCCCGGATAGGATATGAGCTCCTACAACATCAATCACTGCCTACCAGCGCTCGGTCCGCCTCGATCAGCCCAAGCCCGCAGACTATCCCCTCCTTCGATTTGAACCGATGTGGGTGAGTAATGACATTGATCATGCGGAAGAGATTGACAATTATGAATCACTCACCAACCTCACCCCCCTTCTCCAAAACGACCACTCTCAGATCATTACCCTTCTCCTGCTCGAGCTGTTTGAGTCGTATAGCAGCACTCAGACCTGCAGGGCCACCACCTACTATACATACATCTACCTCGTCCGATGCGCGTTCGACAGACAAGGGATCGAACGGTTCTTCCGCTTCAGTGGCAAGTGTCCGCGATCGGGGGACGCGATGGAGGGGGACATGACGGGTCGAGTGGACGAAAGCAAGGAGAGAGGGAGAGGATCCGAGACGACGAGATAAAAGTGTCATGATACTTTGCACAACAACAAAGAGATTACAAGACAGAGATTGAGGTTAGAAAGAGACGGGATCGATGGTATAGACAAGGAGGGAGAAAAGTTTGGAAGAATGCAATGGCCAATGGCGGAAGGGCTAACTCTAAAGGGGGCGCCGGTTGACCGGTTAAGTATTCCGACGGAATCAATTTTGCGCACTTTTGGCTCCAGTGGTGGTGCATGCTACATGTCTGTCTGCCAGCGATATTCCACTTGAAGAACAACAAAACATCGGAATTCACCATGACGGGGACGTCTAACCCTTTGAACGGCTTTGATACATATCATCCCCAAGGTCATGTGAGTATGACAACTCTCCTACCATGCCATTGCGATCCATAATCTCCCGAATATACCCAGGGCTCCACCTGACCCACAGGGCACATCACCCGGTTTGGCAAGAGCGAGGAGACCATTCCGGACTGCCAACTTTATCGTCGGAGGTGGATTGACATTGTTCATCTTGGGCGTATATTCTTATTCCATTTCAGCTGTGAAGCAGGATGATTTTGTGAGTGGTTCATCGCTTTTCTTCAAACTCCGCCCCTTTTCTTCTCCCGCCTATCTAACCATTGCGGTTGTGATGTTTCTCATGGATGGGCTCGATTTATGCTGATACTCAGAGTGATGTCGCCGATCTCCTCCCTCCCCTGGAAGAACGTAGAAAAATTCGGTCCATCGAAGATGAAGAAAGAGATAAACGTCTTGGTTCTTCCCTCGAATCCTCACCTCCCTCCACCACTCAGACAATATCATCTTCGCCACTATCATGGTTTCCACGAAGACTGAGTGATCTATCTTGGGTGCAGAGAAGAGGATGGGTTGAGACAAATACGAATAACGTAACTGTGTGGGGTGCGCCCAACGTGGACTCCATCGGTAGAATAGGTGACAAAGGCACTCCACGTTCAGGTGTAAAGACGGTCTAAGGTGGAAAGAAGAGAAGATCAAGAGGTGCATAAGTGTATAGTACAAACATTGCATGGACACACTGCTCTACACTGCAGGCTGGAGAGTCAGTGAAGGTTCACATGTTTCTACCTAGTGAAAAAATCCGTCGATTGGGCCAGGAAAATTGGAGAGGGGAGGGGAAGTAAAGTGTCGTGGCTCACTCGTAAGGCTCTCAATCGCTCGGCTAATCGACCATCCTCTTCCAAAGGGGCTTCTGATTGTGTCTGCGCTGGAGCAGCCTCAGGTACCTGAGCCTCTCCGAGACCTTGCCGAATTTCCAACCCGGCTTCATCAGCGACCTGAGAGTCAATCATCACTCGGTTCATTCACATGATACCTGCCGTGAGTGAAGAGTGAAGATGGTGGAAGTTACGGGGGAAAGTGAAAAGGAGACACTTGCCCTATTTATCAAAGCATCCACTTGATCTTGCGGCGTTGTCAAAGCTGTCGTATCGCTCATCGTCGATTCCATATATCCCGTCTGAACGTCCAAGTCCGCAAATTGTGATTCGAATTTGTCCATCACCATGGATATCTGATTGTCAGCTTGACCCTCATCTGCATGTACCCATCTTCATTGTGGATGCTCTCAGGAGCAAAGACCAGTCTGGATTTACAGTCTCGAAATGGTGTGCACGAATTAGAAAGGATGACTCGCCCGTTCCAAGTTCATACTCTCCATAGCTTTGTCCATACCCTTGACCACCTGACCCATACTGTTGGTGACCGTCCTCATCGTCACAGCCGTCTCTACTCGTGAAGCCACGGCGTCGATCCGTGAAGCGAGTCGAAGTAAATTGAGTCCTTCTGTTTTCTTTCTGATAGCATTTTGAGCGTATATACGGGCACCGTCCGTGTTTCCTTTTTGCAAGGCCTATTGTCGAGTGATCCATTTCGAACACATGTGATCAAGTTGCGAAGTGAGTGATACCGAAAGAACGACATGGACCATATCGGAGAAATTGATTCATGATATTCAAGACGAAGGCGTGGTGTTGACAGAAAAGGCAGCGAAACAACAAAGGTTTGAGGGAAGGAATAGAGAAAAATGATTAGCCCATCTCAATCAAAGAAAGATACGACCATACCTGCTTTAACTTATTCTTCTCTGTCGCTTCATCCTTATTAGCCTTCTTAGCTTGTCTCTGTAGAGATTTGGCGGTGAACTGCTCATGAGTTTCAAACAGCGTGTACAAAGTCTTTCTGACCCACTTTGAGCTGAAAGAGTGATTCTATTCGATCAGCTCTTTTCACATATGTCTTGACTCACTCTCTAGATGACTCATCGTTACTGAGAAGGTGTCAAAGTAAGGGTCGTTCGTATGCAATAGATGGACGACCTTGGTACTGAGCTGCAAAAGTGGATAATCCCGACGGAACTCGAATTAATCCCGACGAAATTTTGCCACTTTCTCCCAAAATACGACGTTCAACTCCCATATCCCGTCACTACTGACCCAAATACCTTCACTATTAGAAAATCATCTTTCCGGGGCTTTTCTGATATCATTGGAATGCCTGACGCCTTCTGAGTCTATTCATACCATTTTCGGCACAGCTTTCGGAGTATTGACCACAGGGGCATGGGCAATGTCCCCAGCCCGAAATCCTACTTCCTTTTCGGTCCCCTTTCGGCCGAATTCGGGAGCTTTCGGTGATAGTCACATACTCACTACTGACTACCAATCTACCCAAGTGAATAGCTTCTTTCATGTATGTAAGTATGTATGTATGTTCATGTTCATGGTAATACATCCTCTGAATGCACAAAACTCTCTTAAGGATCCATCATGTTGACGTGTCTGATGGTGATGTGTTGATTGAACTTCTACTAAGTACTAACACGGGCTGACGCGATTTTCCCCCTTTTTCATTCCTTCAATTCCTTCAATTCACTTCTTCTCTTCACTTCACTTCACTTCAGCATCTTCATATCTTTTTCCAGCATACATTAGCCAGCTCTCCACTGCTCACTCTCAACTGATCTCACTGCTCATTCTGCATCTGTGTGCTTCATCTCACCTTCCGCCTTGGCTCGTCCGTGGCTCGTCCGAATTATCTTATCATCAAAATTAGAGTCTTCCCACTCCCCCTTCCTCCCAATCTCTCTGACCTCTTTGACCTCTTTCTCAAAATGCCGAACCCCTTCGACCCAAAAACAGATAAATCCAGTGTAAACCCTCCGAAGGGTTACAAATTACACCCCGACCATGTTCACTTCCAAAAGTATCTTCAGCCACAACACCCCATTTGGAAGAATGAGAAATCACTTCGTTCTTTTCAAGCTGAGATAGGGTTCTACCTCCAGCCCTGGTGGCATGCAGAGCCGAAGTATCTTCCTCAGCTTGCTGAAAAGCTAGGACTTCGGGAAGCTACCCCGAAACAAATGAAGGAAGAGGGTATTCGGGCGATTACTAGAGGGTCACGATGTTATTCGGCGGATGAGTCGGCCACAAAGCCAAACTGTCATGTCCAGTTTTGTGTTTCGGCTTTCAATTACACGTGAGTATTGGTTTATCAAATATGGCTCCCGAATTCGGGAGAAATTAACGAAACTCAATGCTGATCTCAGACATCCCGAAGTGAAATGTGTCAATGTACCTGATGGTCGACCAGTGTTTCTCAACCGTTGGGACGAAGGAAAGTTTCGTGTCTGTGTGCACTGTTATAACTCCACAAAGCCCCCTCTCACCTGCTCCCTCAAGGGCAAGCCGACCAATTTCCTTGTCGAAGAGTCCTCCGAAAGTGAAAAACGACCGAAAAAGTCATCACAAGGTCAGGACAAGCCTGAGGACAGCTCGGATTCTGATTCGGACTCATCGGACTCTGAACATTCACCACATCCCTCCCCTCCGAAACCTCGCCGGCCAGCCACCACAACACGCTCCACAAGAGCTTCGGCTCCCAAGAAATCGGTTTCTCCCCCCCCTCCCGAAAAAGGAAAAGGAAAGGGAAAAGAAAAAGCTCCCCCTGCAGCTTCCACGGCGATTGGGTTCTCAAATGCGCCACTGCAGCAACCGGTAGGACCGAAGGACAAGCGTAGGACTGCTAGGGGAGGCACTGTCGCAGCTGGGGATGCTGCAAAACCCGGTCCGAAATGGGTTGTCAGACCTTCTCCGAAACCTCTCACCGAAGCGCCTACGTCTGCTAGAGAGCAACCTCGTTCGGAGGTGAGTTTTCTAGGTTCCGAACTGAAAGCAAGTCTCAGCAGCTGACTTTTAGGGAGAAACAGAACTGTCTTCTCCAGCTGGTCCTATTCTTGTTCAAGATTCCAGCTTGGGTCAAGATGATGGGGAAGAAGGACCTCAACCGGAACCATCTACAGCCCGAAATGAGAGGCCACGATTCCCTCCCCGCCCTCCAAAATTTGCCGATGTTGTTCCCGAAAAGGAACCCTCCGAAATCGCCCCCCCCGTTTTCTCTGCAGGTTTGCCAGCTGGGGTTTCTCCGATACTTGTCCGAAGTAGTCCTGTTCATCCTCCTGTGAACAAGCGTGCCCTGGAGGATGTAGAAGAGTCCCAGGCCGAACCGAAACGGGCTCGTCCGTTCTCCATTGAACAAGGTCCTCCCCAGCCCGAAATGGATCTTACCTCCGAAAAGGTGCCCACAATGTCCCCTGTTGGTCCTGTTCCTTCTCCTGCCGTATCTGTTCGACAACAGGCCGTTCCCTCTGCTCTAGACCCATTTATAGCACAAACACAATCGGTTTTGGGTGTTACATTGCAAGAATCACCAACAATCCCTTCGCCTCACCAAGCTAAAAGTGTCACACCGGCCCCCTTCCCCAGCCCCTCCCCTGCTCCGAAAGCAGGCCCTCCTCCAAACCTTCAACCTGGGTCTTCTTCTCTCGTCTCTGGCCCTCCCCAAATCTCCCCACTACCTACCTCACTGCATACGTTTGCAGAGGTAAAGCAGTGGCTACAGCAGAAGCGCCTGGGTCGATCAGGTGTGCAGAGTCTTCCTGGTCCAAACCCATCAACCAATGTTCCGAAACCCACGATGGCTCCGAAGCCCATAGTTCCTCCACTCTTTGCTTCCCAATCGGCTCCCCCTCAGACTCCACCTCCCACTTCTCTCATTCGTTCTCATTCAGAATTCGTTGGCTCTGGTCCCACAGCTTTGCCAGGTCAGATACCCTCCATTCCTGTCACTTCGGTCAATGTGGTCAGTAAACTCCCTCAAATGAACCCACCACTCCAGCCCGAATTTCGGACCCAAAGGCCCACTGTCCCTTCCTTGGACCAGCCTGCACCCGAAAAGGTTGTCCCTTACATCCCGGCTCCACCGTCTACCATGCCCGAAGTTGAACAGTGTCTGCATCGTATGAGTGAGTTTCAAGAGACTCAGGCTCAGTTTGAGGAGCAATTCTCTTCCCGAATGGTTGCTCAAGTTTCCGAAATGATAGACTATTACCGAGAAATCAACCGAGGACGTCATCAAGCCTTCTCCGAAAGTGTCACACAATCACTTTCGGGTGTGAGAGCTATCAATGGGACATGGAGTGAATTCAAAGCGCGGTATGACTCGGTGGTTTCTGAAAGAGATGTGGCTCAAGGAGAGGTAAAGACACTGGACCGGCTGTACAAAGAGCAGATTGATAAGAATGAGGAGAGAGATCATGCTGTTGCCCGAGTCACCGCCGAAAAGGACGCCGAAATTGCTTCAATCCGAAAGCAGTTGGAGGAGACTCAGGAAGGGCTCAAGACTATGAGCCAGAGGTTCGCTAGTGCAATGGGGGATAAGGAAAAGGAGGCTCAGGCTCGTCAGTTTGCTGAACAGCGGTGTTCAGATCTGGCCAGACAGATGGCTGAGAAGGAAAACACCGAATTGGAAACTCTCCGAGCTCGTCTTTCGGAGGCTGAAGCAGCTAAGGGAGTAATGCAACAGCAAATCGACGAGGCATTGCAGTTTGTGCAAATTACCGCTGCCCTGCAAAATGAGACTGAGATGGAGAATGTAGGGTTGAAGGAACTCAAAGCGCAGTTGGAGGGAGCAAATGAGAAGTTACGGGCGGACCTTCAAGTGGATCAAGAGGAGTGGGAATCGGCCAACTACACCATCAGGCAACTTGAGTCAGAACTCCAAGAGGCCAAACAAGAAAAGGCTCGGCAACAATTCCGCTTTGACCTTAGGACCTCCCCTGCGAAGCCGAACGAGTACTCTGACCGAAGAAGAGCTCACAGTCTTGATCTCCCTTCCACCAAGATCACCGCTCGAAACTCCGAAAATACCGCACCGAATCCCGAAAATGACCCTTCCAACTCCGAAAATGTACTTTCTTCAGGACCAACACCTCATGATGCCATTCCCACAATCCCCACAAATGCAGATCTCTCCGAAACTCGATCGAGAAGACACGGGACATCCGTGTTACAGTTCCCTTGTATGTACTGTCACTTGTTCATTTTGCCGAGTTTCCGTTTCGGTGTTTTCATTTCATGTTTCGGTCTTTCTATGTTTGGGGTCCAAATGTCTCATCTGTGTGTGAACTAGCCTGTGTAATGCATTCCATGTCTGAACTCTTCCAGCCTGGCTCATGTTGCATACATCCCTGCAAGAGATACTTCACTGTTTCTTGTGTCAGTGAGCGAGAGATCCTTGTAGTAGGATTAATTGTCCCCAAAATTCGGACCGACTTCGGACAGCCTTGACCAATTTCGGACAGTCATGGCTGCATATATCACTGCAAGAGAGCTTATGACTATCCAAATAAGCACTGGGTAGACACAATGACTAGTGACCCTAAGCAGTACAATATTGGAATACATGAGATGGTCAGATGTGCTTTCGGAGGGGTTTTCGGTGTTTCGGGAGTGCCTTCGGACTCACTTGGGAAAGATAATCAAGCCCCAATCTGCATCAAACCAAGTGTATTTTTACATCCAGAGGTATATTAGTCATTATATTCATGCACAACACCCCAAGCACAGAAGCAGTCGGTCTGATTCCCTGGAGAAGAAGACATGCAGCGGCACATGCTAGAGGACCACAGCTGTGTGAGTCCACTTGTGTAACCCAGTCCAGGTTATCCCTGGTAGCCTGAACGTCATTATTGAGCTTGGGAGTAGTACTGTACTCACCTGAGAATTTGGAGCAATCAACCAACCCATAGCTTCAGCCTCTGTTGCTATGCCTTTTCTGACTTCCCAGGACAAACGGCGTTCTAGCAGGCGTGACCATTGCTATTGATCAGTGACGCTGCACCTCATTGAAGTAATTTTGAATGACCAACTTACCTTCTTCTGTTCTCCCGAATCATAAGTCCCCCCTGCCCCATCATACATCAACACCAGCTTCTGTGGCCCAAAGATT